TGCTGGGCCTATGGGCACAGTACATTTGTTTTTGGTGAGTTAGGTATGATCGGAATTTAGTGTTACGAATATGAGACCTATATCGAAGATGCCATTGGTGGACCTCGTCATGATTGACATTGATGAAACACGAGGTGAAAATGCGCGTTGAGATCTGTTAGATCGGGACACGGAGGAGTTGAAAGAGGTTGAACATATGTGGTTTTCGTGGTAAGAGTGCCTTAATCCAACTTACTTTAAACTTAATTTGGTAGTATTCTAAGCAGATAATTAGAAACTGGAGCTAAATTAGAAACTTAAAGTGCGATTTTTGTTTCTTGATACAACTCGAATTAGTTACGTAAACAAAAGATTGTAAATGGATAGGCCAGGAATTTCTACTGCGTCATTGATGTAAAATAGTACTCGCACGAGTTTTATATTATTTTATTAGCAAGAAAAATGATATTTGGTTTGATTAGCAAAACATATTTATTTCTAGTCGAATATTTTTATGACAAAAACGTATTTCATGCCGTGAGCTTGAATGGTACTATTGTAATAGTACTATTTGGTATTTACTAAAACAAGGAACGACCTGAAACGACCAGAAACGACCTGAAATGACCTGAAAACATCTTGAAACCACCTGAAACCAGCCAAAACATTGAATCTCCATCGAGTCTGTCGTCCAGTTTTTGTATTTTATTGACTTTTATCGATCGATCAAGTGTTTGTTTTCCTTGGAAGGGATGTACTTCATGGTAGAATGTCTTATTCTCGCTCATACGTATAGTCTCCCATAGAAGTATTCCACACTTATACCTCACCTCTCCCTTGCTATGATCAACCGTTCCTACCTATGATCAACTGTTCCTAGCTATGATCAACTGTCACTAGCTATGATCAACTATCCCTAGCTATGTTCACCATTCTCTACTAATGGTTTCCTGTACCTATATATAGATTAATATTGAATCATAGCTAGTGATAGTTGATCATAGCTATGAAAAAGGGATTTTCAGGCCGAAACCTTCAATGAGTGGGTGGACGAGGAATTTACTGCGTCATAATTTACATAAAAGAGTGCTCACACGAGTTTTATAATAGTTTATTTACAGATCCTTTCACGGTTTCCGACGCCATGTTGTTTGGGGGGCAAATTTACTAAGAAGCGTAGGGAAAGAGATACGTTTTTCGAAATATTTCCATTCTGAGGTTACCCTGCGAGCAGAGTCTCCTTTACCTTCCCCCGAGTGAGAGAAAGGAAAGAGTCTTCTTTCCTTTCTCTCACTCGGGGGAAGGTAAAGAAGACTCTGCTCGCAGGGTATTCTGAGGTAAATTTTCGAGACCAAACTTTTTCTGTAGATGGAGAATCCTCTGTTCAATGTTTTGTGTGGTGTTTTTGAGCCGATGGAGCCACCATAACCGACTGGTTCTCAGAGAGACGGAGGCTTGCTTTGGGGTTTGCGACCAAGACTCGTTTATGCTGGTTCAATTTGACCGTAAAAAATATCTTCTATCAGCATTACAAAATATTCTATTTTAGTCAAGCCGAATCCACGGACTTTCTTCTGTCTTACAATGACTAGATCCCAAATAGTCTTCTACTCTATTCAAAGTATCCAATGTGCCCAGCCAAAACTTGTTATCATTACTGTTTCATTAGAAGCACCGACGCAGCTCACACTAGTTTTTAGCTAGTTATATCTTCTTAWCATTATCAATGATTATTTTTAGAGTTTTAGAGTTTATTTCACTTATCTTTATCTCATATCATACATATTACCATATCTTAATTCAAGGTGCCAGTTGTAAATTACCTGTTTTAAAGAGAGATTTACAATCGTATATGTACTCAACAAAGGGTGAAAATAAAGTTTCCACTATTATCATTATTATTAATATCAAACTGCTTTGCTTTTTTTCCTGTAGATCTTAATATATCTATGTGTGGTGCTATCTTGGAGAAATGGTGTGCAAGCGCCATCATGTATACCTAACGGTGTCATAGAAGTAAATGATCCAAACAACGACTACAATGAATACACTAAGACTGGCTCCAACCCCACGTGTGATGAATTAAAAAAGGAAAAAACATATCACTACAAAGAAGGTTCCACTAGTGTCAAGCTGGCGACCACTTGTGTCCCGCAAATGTACTGCGGTGGCGTTATAAATGGGTGGATAAGAGGTAAACATCCGCAACCTGACAGTGAAAAAGATGCTGATATCTGTGTTAGAAGAAATGACAATTGCTGCTCGGAAAAGTATCGTGTCAAGATAAAGAACTGCGATGGGAAATACTACTATAAAATGAAGAAAGACATTGACTGTTCCCCCAAAAGACGGTTATGCACCAGTCGCCAACCAGGTATGCGAATTTGATTAATTGTCTTCTAAGAGTGACTCAGAATCATAAAATTTATTGTAAAGTTAAAATTTTCTGTATGTTGGATATACTCTATTTCAAAACTTGTGAATATTAATATTAATAAAGGGTTTAGAATATTGAATTGTTTTTTTTGTTTTTTTTGTTTTGTTTTTGTTTGTTTGTTTGTTTGTTGTTGTTGTTTTCTTCGTTCTTTAATTGGCTGGTAGGTTGTTCGTATGTATTTTCGTGGGTTGTTGTTGTTGTTAGATGGTTGGTTGTTGGGTTGATGGGGTTGGTGGATTAGTTAGTTTCTGGGTTGTTTAGTGGGTTGAATACGTTGGTTGGTTTGTTTGCATTTTTGGTACTAATTTTCTTTTTSTTTTGTTTGCTTCTTTGGCTTCACTAATTGTTTATTTACTTTTTCTATTTCTTTCAAATAAGTGGTCGAGACTGATCCCTGTGATAGCAGTCCGTGCAAAAATGGGGGAACTTGCGTTATCTTTCCAAGATATAATTACACCTGCCAATGCGAATCTCAATATACCGGTTTTAATTGTGAATCAGGTAAGAAAAAATTCCTTGAACTTCTTAAAAGTGTTTTTCATTTCTTTCTTAAAAGTTTTGACATTATTTTTGCTCAAAATTTAATAACTAAATGTAAATTAACAAACATGTCAAACTAACGAACCAACCGGACCAACCAACCAGCAAACAAACTAAATAAAGTTTTCTTTATTCTTTTAGAAGTACCCACGATTTCAGACCCATGCAACTCAAGTCCTTGTAAAAATGGAGGAACATGCTACCCGTCAGGTCAATCGTACACTTGTACTTGTTTGCTTTTATTTTCGGGGAAGGAATGTCAATTTTCTGATTCTGGTGAATCAACTGCATCAACAGCAACAGCAGCAGCAACAACA